CATACTGGTATCTCTGTAGTACGCGTATGATGTAAATTAAAAACAACATCAGTGACCACAACACTACCACTAATTAATGAAAAAACATATTGGAAACAGTTTTATGATGAACCAAAACCTTTTCCAGCACTCAATATAAAAAGAACAGTAGAAAGGTATTTACTGCATGGAAAAGCTTTGCAAGATGGTTTGGCTCTCTTTGGTTTTTGGAGCCAGGGGGAATGTGACCATTTCCTGCTGTAATGGCTTCATCACAGCCCTGCAATGGAAATAGACTTTCTTCCTGCTTTCAGATGAATACTTGGGAGGAGGGCCGAACAGCAACGATAGGACGATAAGCTATAAGAGATAATCATCAGAACTATATCAAACAAATGTTTGTCACAAAAAGAAAATCATGCTAGAGAAGAAGACTCAAAAACCACTAAATGGTCTCTTGTCAAGAGAAGAGTTTATAAAATCATTGAGACTGAGATTGTTTTACTTAAGGGGCTACGGCTACTATCGGTGCCGTGTGTTTGTTCTGATCAACCAGCTTGGTTTCCTGTACTGAAGACTCCCTATGGAGTTCCCAAAGAGTCACAGCGGGAATGTGTACGTCCTTGCATTCCTGCCCAATAACCTTAACCTCTTAAGCCCTGGGCCTATTCAAAGGAATGATACAACTGTGAATTGGCTGTAGAAGTGTCAGAATCAATATAGATGTTGCTGTGTCAGAGTAAATTCAGATGGAACATAGTAAAAACAATTTAAATTCTAATCTCCGCCTAAAAAACCACATTATTTAGTGAAAACCACAGTAATGGAATAGTAGCCCTGAACAATGATGGAATAGTAGCACAGAACCTTTAGGGATCCAAACCATAATATATCATAAGTACCCTGTGTCAGGATAGATGATAATTTAGTGAAACTTGACTTTCTTTGAGAGGTTTAGCAGGTAGGTCCAGGCGGACTCATATGTGGGTACATTTGGGTACCATCAGTGCCATTTGACCTTTCTCAGGTACCAGACTGTAAAACTCATTTTATTTCATTGAAATATCACTATAGGTATTCATTCCATCCAAATACAACTGTTTTTGACCTTTTTGGAAAATTCACCATGACCTCTATACCTTTTTTCGCCACAAAGCGTACAGTCCAGCAGGAAGGGCCCTCAGATTTTGAGATACCCCTACCCGAGGTAGAACAAATGACAACAATGATTTTGCTTATCTTTAGGGTCTCCCATTAATGAAATTGATTGTTGTCAAATTTTATTTTCGGGGAGAAAATGTCTTTTGGGTTGTTCTTTAGAACTACCCAAATCCCTGAAAAAGAGCCAAATTAGACCAGGCCGAATATGGGAAAGGTGACAAGAAAGCTCATAACTTGAGAATGACAACTCTTTTCCTCTTCATATTTGCTGAGGTATGAACCAGGTGGCTGTCCTACATCACCAAATAGTCAGACAATTATTTAACTAAAGAAATACTGAATTATAGTCCTGTAAACTTAGCTTTAGTTTAGACCGAAATTGTACTTTTTGGTGATAGGAACATAGGACTCAATCACTTTTCTCTCATTTATCAGAAAAACCGAAATCCCTAAAAAATATACCATTACTGAATTGTCTAGGGTGCTATTGAACACTAACCAGTAGTTGTATGGAAATATCTGGTACAGTTCTATTGCAAATTAGATTTCTTTAGACATAGGCCTACCTCTTCTCTGATATAGTCAAATTCCGAATGGGGGATAAGTGGCATAATAACCTCTAATTTAAGAATGCTCACTCTGATGGTCATTATATTTGGAGAGGGAAATACCAGGTGGCTGAACTACATCACCAAATAGTCAGAATAAGAGTAACCCAATACAATAAAGTGTATTAGTTCTAAATTGCAAGCCTCTAAAACATAGGTGTAAATAGACAGGTTTATAGACCCTCCAGAAAAACGCGATTCTGCGATCGCAGAATTTACCGCATAATGGCGCAGATTTTTAAAAGGCCGCATATTTATCAAAAGGCCGCATAATCCCCGCATATGTTAAATGTCAGGTTCCTCAGAAACGTTAGGGGACACATGTTGACATTCTGCACAGCAGGTGCAGGGGAAGTACAGCGAAGGCCAACAGAGAGGCACTGGCACTTTCCACTCTCTCCACACTTTGCATATTTGCAATACAAGTGAGTAATGTCTCTCACTTCTGTAGAGGCTGGGGGTTATGTAAATAGCACAGGTTGAATGGCCCCATCTCTGACAATCCACCTCTGCCAACAGGACTCCATAACAAGGGTTTGGGTTCGAGCTATGACACCATATCGCTGTCTGAAACATTGCTCTTTGTACATGTTGTTGAAATGCATCCTATGTTGGCGGCAGATTTTCCGAGGCTGCATCTGTTGTTGATGCAATTATGAACCTCAGTTCATTCAAGTTTGTGCACATCAGTCCTGATTCTTTTTTCCATATAGTAGAAGCACAAATTCTCTTGCGACTTGCAAAGACTCTTCCAAGCTGGCAGAGAGTCCACAAGGCCAGATCTTTGAGCTCGCTGAGATGGGTCTTGAGTTTGGTGAATGCTGTTGTCTTTCCTATTCTGTACAAACTACTTGTTGTGCCACCGCCAGTGAGTGCATGACATGCTGGTAGACAGTTAGACATGTCTTTTCCAATTTTCTCACATGTGGTGTTGATGGGGACATATCTCTCTCTCATTCCATGCTCTGCATGCATGTACACTAGAGATTAACCAAACATTTAATTGCTAGCATAATATATCAGCAGTACTTCCACACCTGTGTCATCAGACCTCACAATGATGCGGGAATATGACTCTCAGGAGTCAGCAGTTTGACATCATGAGGAGGCAGACACAAGGATGGAGCTCCATGCCAGACATCTTGCAGAGTCATATTCCCACATCATTGTGAGGTCTGATGACACTATAGACACTGAATTACTGCTCATATATTATGCAAGCAATTAAATGTGAAAAGTAAGGATGTTTCAAATGAATTCACCTAACCGAGAAATACTTTTTAAAGGACATAATACTCAACACATTTCTATGCAGTGAAGAGGTCTGAGTTCTCCAGTGGTTTAGTGCACACCATACCAACATCAGATCGTTTTTACATCTGGTATACTTATATCATTTGGATAAAATCTACCTTACAAGTTGCCAATTTGAAGGTCTGTTTTTCAAACTATTATTACAGACAAAGTGAGTACATCAGTAAACTGAAGATCATGGTTTATGATAGGAATGAGAGTACAAACTAAATGTTACTACAATATGCACATAGCTGTCCAGTCACATACGTGTAATCATACAAGTAAAATCACAAAGAACTCAGATATTTGGAATTTCGGGGACTTTATTAATGAGAAAACAAAAGTACAAAACAAATGAAATATCAGAGGAACGTCTAGTTTACAAAACTTAGAGAAAAAAGGTCCCTTATTCCTAAATACTAGCAGAAAAGCATCAACAGGTAAAAGCAGCCAGTCAGGATCTCAGCTAAAATAAATGATAGTTCAAAACAGAGCAAAGAAAGATATTTTGAAACAAAAACATAATCCTGATTAATTTAGAAAAACCTCAATTAAATGATCTGTCAGAAATAGAGAAATGTACAAAGTATTTACACAAATGGAAACAACATTTTTGTATTGTGGCGTATATTTAGGAGTGTGTGCACTTTTAGAGACGTAGCAACCAGATGGAAATACATTACATGTCTCTTGTTAGATGCTTTTACCCAAAGTGACTTGCATACATTCTGTACTGTGGACACTCCACACAGGTCTTCCACAGGGACACAACGACATGCTGACTGCAGTGAGGATCGAACCAGTGCTACCATAATCTGAAGATCAGCGCACTATCCCACTGTGCCACAGCCTCTCAGTATACGTTCAAGTAATGTCATACAAACCACAATAATTCATCCATTTCCTCACGCAGCATAAATGTGTGAATTTCCCTAAAGCCACATTTATACATTCTTAAAATATCTATGATTCATTTGTTTAAGTGTTTTGTAAAAGACAACTTTAACGACTATGATTATGAAGTCATTTGTATAATAGATTTACTTTCTAAAGGTTATTATTTGAGTTTGAGACTTCATCTGACCTGCTTCTCAAACTAAACATCCCTTTTAATAAAAGAAATCATATCACTTTCAGCGCTTGTTATTCTTTGAAGCTACAACGTGTCACAGAGATTTAAGGAATACCACAAATGAAAAATCACAGAGGATTTTGCACATAGTTCAAGGCAGCAGGTGAATAGTTCAGACGAAGCACCTCACTGCGGGTTCATTGAGGATCTGGTTTCTCAGAGAGCTCAGAGCTGGAGGCAGGGGTTTGGAAATTAAAAGCAGAGAAAAGTCTAAAATGTTTTAATCCACCGTCACTTGTACAACACATTTAATTGACCAAAAAGAGATGATTCCACTTTAATATACAGCTTTATATCTCTTTCCACCCCAGAAAAAGCCATTCAGATCATCATATACTGTCTTGTCTATCTTTAGTCCCTGAAAACTACAGTATATAATTACATTTATAAATTCTTCTTATTATTTCAATCATGAAAACTGTTCTTATTATACATCCATGATGAAAACAGACGAATGTTATTACGTCCTTTGTGAAGAATCCAGTAGCTGTGATGCAATTGGTCGGCTGCCGTTACGTCACAGGTCCACACAGCGTGACAGCCAATAGCAGCATACATGCAAATCTGATTCAAAAATAATTCCCGGGAAATCTTAAATTTCGCGCGTAATATCCTCTCTCCGTGTCAGATATCGGCTAGAAACCATATTTATTAAAATAGCTTGTGAACAATAATGAATGAGAAGGACATGGATAGCTGGATATATATTCTAGAATCGTTTGAAATGATGAAAGTGGAAGCAAAACGGGACAAGATGAGAAACGGTTTTTCGGTGGATATTAACGCGGAGTGTTCCGAGAATAGATCGACCGGATCTTCTTCTTCGTCCTACATCGGTAGCACCGTGGACATTAAACATCTTTTCCACAAGCCGATTGACGGTCCAAATGACCTAACAACCTCCCGGATTGTCAACAATAACCGGGATAGTGCAGACATTGAAGAAGGAACAAGTTAAGGTACGTTATGTGGAATTTAAAAGGGGATCTGGGGTCGTTTTGGAGAGTAGATGGAAAGCTGATATGCTATGTTGTTGTGGGTAAAAAATCCATTACCTAGCAGCTGTCCGTAGCAAACAGGAAGAAATGTTGTACATTAACAGACTTAACATAAGCCTTTTATCATGCATTTGGTCGTGTTTATTAGTCAAAATGTCCGAGGTTGTCCCTCTCGATAGGCTTATTTGATTCAAATTATGTTACAAGCTGGGTAACATTAAGCATTATCTAGCTTCTTATCAAATAGTGACATTAGGTGAGGAGGATGTATGTGATTTTAGTGACATTAGCACCATTTGTAACCCGAAATGCAACTTAATTTAGCTACATCAAGCACGCGGAGGCTACCATTGTTGTTACCGGAAGTGCAAAACCGTTCTTCAAAATAAAGATGAATGCTTGACAGGAAAAAGGTATCATATATTATAGGTGATGGGAAGCTGTTGTTTTTCTGGTTGGTTAAACAACAGTGACTAAAATAACTGTGCTGCTTAATACACATAATATTACCACCTGACGCCCATTGGATTAAGGCCATGCAAAGGGTTTATTATTCCAATTAATGCACATTTTTTGAAGAATACAGATTATATCATATGCTTTAATGTATTCATGGACTGGACTTAATTAATATATATACAAACGCAGTTATTATCTGATTTATGTGTTAATGAATAATCCACATACAAAATAAATAAAGCATTTCAGTAACAAGCAAGTGGACTATACAGTCGCTGAAAATAGAAATGTTAGTGTTTATTCTCCTAAAATCTGACATTTTACAACCTTCAAACTTTTGGCCCTGATGTTGTTTGGGGGGCGGGGCTTACCAAAGAGTAGTTTGGCATCCTGAGTGACAGACTCTGTCATGTTGTCTTCATGGATGTTAGGTAGCGCGAGAAATATAACTCAACACTTTCTATACACAATACTCCCGAGATTGGTGGGAAACCAAACTGATACCAGCGTCAATGTTCGATTAAGCGAGCTGTTGAGCATCGTAGTTGGCAACAATCGCGGTATAAGAGCAATAAACTGCTAGAATGTGAAATTAAGTATCCGCAGCGTGCCAGCAGGTTGTGCTGGTGGACCTGACGCCATCTCCCGCTGTCTCATGGAGAGATGCCGCAGGTCCTTCCTTCCTGCAGTGGTCCGACTATACAACCACTACACAGCCCTCAGTACACACACACACACACACACACACACACACACACACACACACACACACACACACACACTATAACACCCCTTGCTGAACTGAATCAAAAATAATATTCAACCTGAACAATTGTTTCAAATACTTATTTTTATTTTGAATACATCATTGTATTTTTCAAAGTTCAGGATAAAAATTTGAACTTTCAAATAAATTGTATTCTTTTGGAATGATCGAAACTCATGACCCTGATATAGCTCCATACATTTCCCCATGAAAACGGCCCTATATTTCTATTTCAATGTAAATACTGCTTTTATTTTGAAAGTGACTCATTGCAGCCATGGCTCTATTTCTGTATTTCCGGTAGCTTTACAGTCATTTTACCTTTTGAGGCATCACACCGCGCCTTCTCGGAACATACTTTTTGCACACTTTGCGCTATTAATGCTGCACAGACTGACAGTGCTTTAAAACACCGAGTTTCTCTGTGAACACACTGGTAAGAAACTCACTGAATTAACTGGTTTAATTCTGTCCACGAACAAACTAATGCTAGGCCTTTTGGTGAGCGTGGGGAGGGGGATGGGGAAATGTTGCTCCAACTAGCTAAACACTGCAGAAAGAAGCTAGCTGCTGTCCCAGGTAATGACACTCATTTTTAAAACCACCCTTAACCAGCTCCAGGTGAATATTTAAACATATAATATAATGCAGAAACATGCACAATGCTTCCAACTACATGCATGTTCAGTCACAAGTCAATACAATCACTTGTTTTTACTTTATTTTGAATAAAATGGCTGCCCTGGAACCATTGATTTAATCAGCTGTTTGTCTAAAATTGCAATTTAATGCATGTTTTTTTGTGTGTCTTTCAGGTCAAAAGAAGGCTGGAGCTGGAAGCAGGAGAAACCCAGGACCTTCAGGATGGAGGCAGGACCTCCAAATCCAAACAACTGGTGGCTCCTCTGTCCCAAACACCAGGGAAGGGTAAGACTTTGTACATTAATTACTTTATTTATTAATTAATAGCCAATGTGCTAGTCCTCTGCGACCAACGTGGTTGATGCTGACCTGTATTCTTGTCTCAAACTGTCCCATGACTCAAACTTTGTGGTTACCATGATAAATAACCTGGGGAACTTGACATTACATTACATGTCAATTGTTAGCTGCAAAATGTGCAGTTTTGGTGTGAAGTGTCTTTCCCCAGGGACACAATAATATGCTGACTATTAAAAAGTAGCGACAGATAACTCACCCTTTGTACATTCATTGCTTTCTTGTTTTTGTCCTCTGCAACCAACGTTGTTTTTTATACCAGCCTGTATTTCAAAATGTGCAATTTCGCTATTAAAAAGTAGCGAGAGATACAAGTACCAAGCACAAGTACCCCTTGTACATGTATCACTTTATTTATTTATTAATAGCCAATGTTCTAGTCCTCTGCGACCAATGTGGTTGATACCAGTCTGTATTTTTGTGTCAAACTGTCACGTGACTCAAACTATGATAAATAACCTGGGGAACTTGACATTACATTACATGTCAATTTTTAGCTGCAAAATGTGCAATTTCGCTATTAAAAAGTAGCAACAAATACAAGTACCCTTTGTACATTCATTACTTATTTCGTTTTTTAATACTGACCTGCATTCTTGCCTCAAACTGTCATGTGACTCAAACTTTGTGGGAACCATGATAAATAACCTGGGGAACTTGACATTACCATACGACACAAAGGGGCTTTATTGGCATGAGCACATTTTAAACATAGTATTGCCAAAGCATTCTGCACAAGGTGTTTTCATTTCATTTCATTTCAAACCTTTATTTAGACAGATTGGTCCCTTGAGATCATCGATCTGTTATAACAGAACAGACCAAAAGGAAACATAACTGTCAACAATACATGACAGCATAACACTAATCATACTGTGTATATACCAACAACGTGCAACGTGTTAGATGCTTTTATCCAAAGCGACTTACACACATTCAATACTGTGGACAATCTAAACAGGAGCAAACTGTGGGTGAAGTGTCCCAGGGACACAAAGACATGCTGACTGCAGTGGGGTTTGAACCAGTGCTCCTCTGATCTGAAGATCAACGCACTTCCCACTGAGCCACATCCTCAATTTGAATTCTGCTGCATCTGCATTTAAGTTAAAAAGAGCTATTTCAATTGATTTTAAAATGCATTTTGCAATAAAAGCAAAAATACGAAGAAATGAACGACAAAATTACTTTTTTAAGGGCTTTTTCGTAACCTTCATCGACAAATAAGAGTGGTGCAGTAATGACGTATTTTGCAGGCCAACCCGGAAGTCATTTTAGGTCACATAGAAGCGTGGGACCTTTACTAATGGGGTATTTACTGACCTACTTTGTGTCTTCAACTTGTGTTTACCACAGACCTTATTTCAGGTATCTAACCGGAAACCTGTTCAAAAAGACTGTGTGGTTCAATGCTAACTCATTTCCAGGTTTTAGTACTCATTCCTGCACCACTCTTATGTCATGAGGTCAAGGAAAGATGTAGTATAAGTTCATAAGTAATTGTGTGTAGAGTTGTCCAAAGTTGCATTTCTACGTATTGTTTTCTGTTTTCCTGGAAGTACCCGTCACCTCCCAGATGTTTCCCACTTCCCTTTTTCTCTCGCCATATTTCCAGTGAACCGCTGGATTATGATTATCTTTTATTCCTTTTTATAACTTTTCCTTAAAGTCTTGCTCTCCAAACTCTGTCTTGCTCTCTGTCACAGTCAACACTCTGGACCTAAATAGACTCCAAACATGTCTCGCTTTGAGTATCCATTTTAGGAATCCTTTTTAAGAAGTAGCATCTCAAATAAAAACTCAAATGTCACCTGGTTTCCCGTCGGTCTCTGTGAGAAATCACGCTTTAAATCGATTTAGATTATTGTATGTGCACCTTCCAGCTCCACTATTCATTACATATTTTTAAGTACTTGTAGTCTTGTGTGGAAAGTTTTCCAAAGTTTTCCAATACCTGTACACTTCCCTTTTTCTCATTTCCAGTGAACCGCTGGATGATTATCTTTTATTCCTTTCCATAACTTTTCCGTAAAGTGTGTGTTAACTTACATGAACTATTTCTGTTTCCGTTTAACATGTTCACTTGGGAGTTTTATTGAGAAGAACCGGAAGTGTTACCGGATGTTGTGAAGTGTTACGTGGGCGTTACGTGTTGTATGTGATATCCGAAGATGGCGGTGTGCTGAAATGAAGTGTTGTGCTGAGACGAAAGTGTGTCTCGTTATCGAGTAACAGTCTGCTCTCCTTGCTCTCTGTCTGACTCTCTGTCAACACTCTTGAGTATCCATTTATAGACATGTAGATTCTTAAAAAGGAAGCATCTCAAATAAATGTCCCGTTTTCTCCCCAGCTCCCTCCGCCAGTCCCGTAGCTCGCCGGTCGATATGTGAGAAATCTCGTTTTGAAACGTCTCTGGGTTTGTTGACGCGGAGGTTTGCAGACATCATGAGGCGCTCTCATGACGGCGTCGTGGATCTGAACTTCGTCGCCAACGAGCTCAACGCCCCGAAGAGACGCCTCTACGACGTCACCAACGTCCTGGAGGGGATCAAACTCATCAAGAAGAAGTCCAAGAACTACATCGAGTGGTTGTGAGTATGAGTGGCTGTGTGTGTGTGTGTGTGTGTGTTTCTGTACTCGTGTGTGGGTGTGTTTCTGTACGTGGGTGTGTGTGTTTCTGTACGTGTGTGTATGTGTGTGTGTGTGTGTTTCTGTACGTGGGTGTGTGTGTTTCTGTACTGGTGTGTTTCTGTACGTGGGTGTGTGTGTTTCTGTACTGGTGTGTTTCTGTACGTGGGTGTGTGTGTTTCTGTACTGGTGTGTTTCTGTACTGGTGTGTGGGTGTGTTTCTGTACGTGGGTGTGTGTGTTTCTGTACTGGTGTGTTTCTGTACTGGTGTGTGGGTGTGTTTCTGTACGTGGGTGTGTGTGTTTCTGTACTGGTGTGTGGGTGTGTGTTTCTGTACTGGTGTGTTTCTGTACCTGTACTGATGTGTGTCTGTGCTGATATGTGTTTGTTTCTGGACGTGTGTGTGTGTGTGTGTGTGTGTGTGTGTGTGTGTGTGTGTGTGTGTGTGTGTGTGTGTGTGTGTGTGTGTGTGTGTGTGTGTGTGTGTGTGTGTG